AAAAAAAAAAAAAAAAAAAAAAAACCAAACTGCCTTTGCCTTGTCACTTGGAGGCCTCGTCCTGTCTTAGATTCAGTGGGTCCTTTGCTGGGACACATGGGGCACATGGAGTGCCCGCAGAGGGTGACAGCGGCAGCGTTGGCTGTGCAGAGAATACGCGACACTCTGCCTTCTCGGCCCAACCCCCACTGGAGACCTTGAGACCTGTGATGGCAAATAATGGGATATAATTATTTCAGCGGCGTTTCTGCTAGTATCACAATTAGTGTTCTGTTTTGCCCCTCTGGCTTAGCCAGCTTAAAGTAACGTCTGACTAAAGGTCGCCATGGCTGCATCTGTGTCTCTTTCCATCGGGGGAAAGAGCTGCAGTGCATGCTTGAACATCTGCAAGTGTGGGTTTATTTTGGCTCCAGATCTGTATGCAAACTCTTGATCATAAAGAGTTAGTAGTTCACAGTTAACTTTCCTGAAGCTTCTAGTTCAGTTATTAGAGTCCTGGCCAAAAGAGAGCTATTTTAGCAGGTGCCTGAAAGTATGAGCAGTTCAGTATTCTAATTGTGCATGCTGATGCTGCTGGCTGTTGATTTGGAGGTAGGTTTAGTAGAAAAGAAGTTTTGGATGGGATCATACCTCTGCATGTCCCGGGTACACAGGCCTGATAAAGAAAACTAGATGGTGGGGGAGGGGACGGGGATGGTTTTTTTGGGTTAACAATTCCTTCAAGGAATAATGTCATTGGGACAGTGTTTGGAAATGTGCCATTCACACCATTTCCCCATCTTCCAGCATGGGTCAAGGAGTCACATCAACTGCAGTGGCCTTGCCATGCAGCTGCTCAGCCTCCAGGAGACTGGTTAGTGACAGGCAAACAATCGATGGCCCTGCCTCAGCCTGGGCACCCACCTCAGGGGCAGCCAGGCCAGTACAAGCAGGAGCCAGCCTTTGCTGGCAGCAGGTTGCTGGCAGGCTCTGGATTTCCCCAAGACACCGGTGGAGGGCCGTTTTGGAAAGTAGAAATCAGAAGGCCCCCACACGTGCATCAGAGAAATGTCACCTTCTGCTTTGCAGAGGGTGTGCCCTTCATGCAGACAAGCCCAGAGATTCCTCAGAACCAGAGAGGCCAGGCACATGCCAGGCCAGCCACTGGGCAGCAGAGGGAGGGGCAGGAGGTCTGAGAGCAGAGCAACGTCTGGACTGTTTGCAGCAGCTGTTTGCAGAGGCTGAGATCACTGCCCCACAGCAGAGAGGCCTGTGCTGTGCCTCACCAGGCCAGTTCCATCCTCCTCCAGCCAGGAGCAGGGGGCCCAGGTCCTGAGGAAGCA